AAAGTTAAACTACACTTTGATGTATGTGATTTCATTTCTAAAATCAGATATGAAGTATATTAATGTTGATATTAAAATAGCATCGAGTGTAGCGTATTCTGTTAAAAGAATTTGAGAGTGACTAATACTTCTGAGAAGTTAGAGAGTTACTGATCGTACACTATAAATATCGAACTCGCTTATATCGGATTCCACGAGTCAAAACATGCTCGTATAACGTTCAGCAACTCCGCCATCAGGCATGTCAACTCCCACTTATCCCATGCGTCTATTTACTTCGGCAAACATTATCCCGTACCGCCGATCCATAAGAAATTAATAGGCAAGCAGTTACGAGTAAATTATTAATAATTTCACGTGGTAATACCCGTGAGAATCGTTCCCACCGTTCCGCGAGCCTTAGAGAAAACAAGAAAACGCGCGACGGAGTGGCACACGCATTTTATTCATTCAGAATGGGATTAATGACTTTCGATTCTCACGTTTATCGAAGCCAATCGTTGTAACCTAGCTATAAGAGAAGAGATGGAACTGCAGTAGGAGTTTGAAACCGGTACATACTTGAACACCATCGTCCGGTTAGCCCGATCACGGGACAACCGGATCGCTAACAATCCGTTTCCAAGAATCCTTAAAGATGTTAGCATATCTAATGACCGGCGAGACCTCTTATTAAAAGATGGTTCACAGCGCGTTTAAAAGTGCTGTGCACAGACGACGGAATTAATGGGACAGTAGATAATATCAGGAATTTCAGTCGCTCATTACACGACGAAAGGTGCGCACCGATACCATTAATGACGCGACACCCGCCAATTTCCGGGAGTTACAAAGAATATCAGGCTTTCATTACTATCAACGAAGGAAGAAGTCATCGATCATTCCCTTTCCTCCGAAGGTCACGATTAAGTCATAAATGCGTTTAACGTTCCTATTGATCCACCTCGTCGGTTCGTTGTTCCCATTTTCTCCTGGGACGCGCCTGCCGTCAGAAAATTATACGGCAATATCGATCGGTAACTTAGAAACGATTAATCCCAGGTATATCTCTGTTCCCCGGTGATTCCCGGATAATTTATATATCCTTTTCGAGGGTCTGCTAACGCTGAGGTGTCCGCTAACGCTCCCGCGATTTTTACGACCCTTCACCGGCGTGGATCTAAACCTCTGAATATTATGGACCCTTAAAAGATCCCGTTCAGGACGATATCGGTGATCCCGGCCGGGTACGAGTTAACATCCCAGAAAGTTCGGAAGGCGTGGAACACTTCGCGTCATCGGGGATCGTATATTCAGCGTCAGCGAGCATCTGCGTCAGGGGGATGCGGCTTCTATTACGTCAGACGCCCGGCCGTCAGAATGGACGATGTGTTATTACGTTCCGGGAGAGGGCGACCCGCTCGTTAAATTACCATGAAACGTTTTTCACCGGAGGGGTGAGGGGTGGAGCTTGTTCCATCAATTTCTCAGATGAATCTCTTGATGAAAGAGTCATCGTTTGGATCCTCCGATATTTGATTATTCTCGCGCGATCACATTTGATCGAAAGGTTCTGGAGTAAATTTTACAAACACGAGAGTTAACACTGTGGGATCGAATGAATTATTGGACATTCGTAATTAGTTAAGAAGGGTACAAAACAAACTTGATTATTGTATGTATGACGTTTAAGGAATTTTGAACTTTGATCTTATGATATTATTGACAGTAATAGGTATTTGCTTATTGTACCGCGTTATTATTCTGTATTGTTCTCGGTAACTTCCGAAAACTTACGTAACTTATGGATAAATGGTGAAAGTATTTTATATCCGTTAATTAAACAAAACAGGTTGGACGACTGTTGTGCAACAGAAATTTCAAGCTCGTATCAGGAAACTGGCGTTGATTAGACAATCTACCTGTAATTGGCGTAAGAAATTTGAGACAACCGGGTGCTTATGTAAAACTAAGCATCTTGGAATGCTAAGTATAGTCGTCGCCAACATGCAGTGAGCTCTTAAAATCGGTCGAACGTTAAACCTGTTTCAAGCGATAGTACAAACGAATTGACAGAAACGCGATCTCCTTAAGATTCGGAACTATGATCAGTATCTTTGATAAGCGCCGAACTACGACAGCATCAGTTAATACCGATAGTAAAATCCTATCTTAAAAGTTGAATTTACGACCGCGCTATATCATGACGACAACAACATATCAAAGTGCTACGGAAAACCTCAAACAATCCAAATTACATCTCCTTACACCAACATATTCACGAAAATCAGCATCTAAAGCAACATTCCACTTCAATTCTACCTAAAAACCGCGAACAAAACAATTTCCAACAGTATGGGAAGCAATGGCTGAACGGTAAAGGGTAGGGCAGGGTTTGATCCGTGTCATTTAACGTCATTCCACGAGTCCTATGGAGTCAGCAAGATTTCATCGTAAACGCTCCGGAGGATCGGCGGCGTTCGCTCGGTTCGGGGCTTATCGCGACCTCTCAACGGTCATCCCGCTTTTCCCTCGTTCCGTTGCTTCCCCCCTCCCCCACTCTCTCTTCCTCTTTCTATCGTTCCAACGTCGAGTTCGGTCGCGTTTGCCAGACACAGACAAAGCGTCCCGACATAAATAATTTATCCGAGAGAAGGCAAGGCACTGCACGCGTGCGCGCTCGCCGGCAACGGTGTATGTTGCATTAAATATGAAATCCAATATAAAGTTTCTGCGGCGCGGTGAGCCGGCCCGCCCTTTCTCCTTCCTGAACCCATTACGCGGCTTCTACGCGAAGTTTACTCGCGCGGAACGCTGTTTCGCGACGCTCCGCTACCCCGCCGCCCCTATTAAACCATTAATTGTCGTTACCCATTAATCGCGCGGCTCGCGTGCCGATATAAAGACGGCGCGCACTGGCTCCCGCGGAACGTTCGACCGTGATAATTTTATATCGCCCCGGCCGCTTCTATTTTGATCCGCTTAACGCCCAGAGAATATGTATTAATTCGCGAAGAAACAATTAAACACCGCTCGAATCGCGCTCGCGATTATCTCCACCGACATGCCAAAGGTATTTTAATTGGACGGATGCTTCGTAATGGGCTTCCGCGTGGCGTTCCGCCGCGGAGAAAGTTTAATGGCCATGGCAACGGGCTGAACCGAAGTTAAAGGAACCGAAGCTATTTTCTGTCGAAGTTGAGGGAATAATGCGCTCGTCGCAGTCAGGTGGGATTACGCGATTACACGTATGCCAGCTTCATTTTCTGCGGCGCCGTCGCGGATCCGAGCACGCGCACCCTCGTGCCGGATCTTTTATGATTCATTAGCTAATTGCGATTTTATGATATTGCGCGGTATTACGTTCCGTGACAATATTAATTAATACGCGGGAGTTTATTGGTCGTAATTTTGGCGCGAGATGTGCAGTGAATTTTCGGCTTCTGGGAAAGGGACCTGGATGTTCCTTTGCTTAACGTTTGTTGATAGGCTTCTTGTTAATGGACTGCAATTTGGGCTTAACGTCTTGAGAGATATCTTCGTATCTTTGTTTAAATTCGGATACATAAGTAACAAAACTGGTAAGTCGATGTTAATAAAAGCTAGACGTATATTCTTTTTCCGTCTTGCGAAGGATTGTGGTTACTGTAATACGTATTGATGAAACAGGCAACGGGTCTGTTATAGAAAATACCTACTTCTGTCTGGGTTCCTCTTAGCTCGTAGCTGCTGAAACTGACGTCAATAACTGCATCGTGATCGTAGTTTTTCAACGCGCAACCGGCTGCAGACCGAGAGTAAAGCGTGCATCGACGTTCAATCGTACACGCCGCTCGAATATCGATGCGCCGTCGAAACCCCCATAGGTGCAGCTGCGCCGGGGCCGCGTTTTCCATCAATCCTCCGCCAACTGCGTTCATTTTATATATTTTTTTAATATCAAACTTTTCCACCGTGTATCTAAAAGCGATATCGCAACGCGAGGCGAGTCTGTTCGACGGAATTTCAAAGCGGACACCCGTGCATCCGCGTAAGGCGACCTCCGAGAAATTTTTTGATCGCTGTTTCGATCGTTATCAAGATAACCGCGCGGTACAGCTCGCCAATATCTCGAGAGGAATTAGAGGAGAGCCGAACTTTGCGGAAATTTCGTCCGACAATGCGGAGGAAATAAGCTTTACAAGATGCAATATGTGTGCCCCGGTTCGCCGCGACCCAAATGCCTCGAAAAAGGGTCGAGTCAACAGAGATCCCAACCGAGGCCAAGTAGTTCAACCTCCACCGTGGTCGGCTCCGTATCGCCTATGCGGAACAATGCTTCGATTAGGCCTGAAAAGACTCCTCTCTCGTTCCTCCTAACGCCCCTCAAAACAATGAGTAACTCAACGGGAAAAGGTAATTCTCCTTTAAACCACTCGTGACCGAATTATTCTTTTTTAAAGAATTCACTGTTTGTCCACCGTCCGTCGTCTTGTTTGTCACCGAACCTGATTCGGGATCAGTTTAGTTCAGCCTCTAACGTGGAACACGCTTCATTGATCACGAAAGGGTTGAAAAACTCTGAATACCAAACATATGTTTTCAAATCAATTTCATCCTATATACGTTCGAAGGGAGAGGTAAAATAAATTTGGAACAACTGTATTCAACGTACGACTAACGCAACGCTACAATTGCATGTTTAATCCATGATGAATCGGGCTACAATGATGACGAAAGAACTGTATTTAACATGAAATATCGACGCGTCTGTAACGAATTAAACTTTCCACAGTTATTAACAAACCTCTGATATCCATAAATTAAAGCAAGAATTCAATTTATCCGTATCCCCTTTTCTTCCGAAGAGAGCGCCGTCAGTTCTACACCCGGCCGTTTCGGATTGAATGAAAATTACACAGTATTTTCGCCCCTATTACGAGTATTATCGGGGCGAACGGTGCTTGTCCAGCCTGGTTCCGTTTACTTAAGCGACGTTTGGCCGGCGCAAAGCTCATTCCGCTTATTTCTCGGTTTTTCAGGATGCAGAGACAAAACCGGAGTAGCTCGGAGGTGGAGGTTGCGCTTATGCGCCCCGTAAGCACCGCTGGCTAATAGCACTACAGTCCATCCCCGACACCCTGCAGCCACACCAGGTAGGATATACTCCTCTTTATGTTTGTCTTTTATGCATCGGCCATTCCGCACGTCATTTCACGCGGCCAACCGGTTGGTTTTACGGCGGATATACACTCGACCATCCGGACCCGCGGACAAAGGCCGAAATCGCGCCGTTATATTTATGTTTCGCGGTCAGTGCGCGCGAACGATTACCCTCGTTTTCCTTTTCGCTTTTTCTTTCGGTTGTCGGTGCTGCAGGTGACGTTTTCCACCCGTTTCGAGACCGATAGTTCGGCAATTTTGCGGCGGAAAGAGCGGATTCGCAGACAATCGCGAGAGCGAAGACAGGTGGGGACGGGATCGGGGCGAATTGTATGTTTTACGATCCTTTGCAGCGTCGTTTGAAACTTTCATTAACCGAGATGGGGGCGGCTGATGAGTCTCGGCCCGGAGAAACCAGTTCAGGTCGACGGAGCATTTAAAACGCGCTTAGCACCGGGGACGTTTGGAATTGTACTTATTCAGTGTTCTCGGTGGACTTATCGAAATTTTTTTAATCTCGTCGGGAAGGAATGGTGATAAATTTTCAGATGACGTTAAGAGACGAAAGCAAGGCGTTCGTTCAACGAATATGTTCAACATATTAAGAAGAAAGAGATATTTCGATTTATTCAATTGTATTTCTTCGAACCTCTTAAAATTTTCGTAACATCTACAATTTCTCAAAAACAAGAACTCGTTCTGAGGATACAATCTTAACAATACGTGGATAAAACAACATCCAGAAAATTTCTATTATCCTGACTCTATAACCATCAGATCCACAATGTTAGTTCCGTGAAATGATAAAGGACCTCCCGATGGCCGACGATTTACACGCAAAGGATCAAAGGGACCCTCGGGCGGCGGAAATCGCAGCGGAAGCACCGGTTGAACCGAATTACCGTGTTCGAGAGACGTTCCTCGGTGTTTAAAAGGTTCTGTTTTCTCTTCGATGTCTGAAAGAGCTAGCTATCGAGTTACCGGTTTCGTTCCGTATGATAAAACGTTTTCAGGAGGGAATAGCGGGAGGACACGCTGGGAAATGGCGGGTAATTGAAACGCGTGTACTACGGTGGAAGTGGAGCAAGGACTGCGCGAGATCTAGATTCTTCGAGCGATTTGTGGCCCCGGGAGGAACGGGACGAGAGACACGGTGTAATTTCGAGCGACGACGCGCGGAGAACACCGATGCGGAGCGGAGTCGAGCTGATTCCGCGCCACGACTGCGTTCCAATGACGCCCGACGTCAAGAACACGGAGTCCTCCCGTTTCGATTGACCTTTCACCGTTGTCCCGACTGATTCATATGGGCTGTACATGAATAGTTTATGATATGTAGTATGATGTACTGATTTTTATGCATTTATGGGATATTCAAGAATTAAAAATTGCACAAAATACACACGGTATGAAAGAATCTACAAGGTGTCGTGTAACTGGCGGTATAACCGAATAGGGAATGATTCTATGTGCAAAAATAAGTCGAAAATATCGAATAGAAGTTTTTCATTTGAGACTTCATTTTCGAAAAAGTCGACTCTAAAAATACACTCGATACTTTTCGTAGTATTTATTAAGAAAAACTTCATTCTGGCGTAATTATAGTTTTCTAATTATGTTCTTAAAGATTTGAGTTTGTATAAAGATGTGCAGTATAATCGGATATTTACACGAGCACCGTGTGATAAAAACAATATAAAACTAATAACAAGTCATTTCGGAATAATATCCCAATTCAGGATTTTCGTTTAAGAGAACTATATTATGCTATTTTTTGTCGATTTCGCGACATTTAAAAGCTTGTTAATGGATTTCTGGTGGCTGAAATATCCATTTTCGTTCATCGAATTCGCCGGTAAAGTTATGTTCATGCGTTATGAAACGTTTTCAGTGCAATCGAGCGAAAGTTTTTTGCGAACTTGCGAAGCAACTTCGGATATTCGCTCCGGTCGTATGTAAAATTCCGAAGGAATCGACCGGGATCGCGGGTTCCGTATTTGGTCCCACGGACGCGACGGATAAACGCGAACGAGCCGCGCCCGGTGAATTATTCCCGATCAGTGTTGGCTGTTTACGATAATCGCCGGTTCGACGATTTACAATAATTTTACACGCGCCTAATTAGCAATTCCGATCGCGGCCGAGTCGTCCGATCTGCTCGGTATTCGCGACCGGTTCGATCGTCCGATTATCTGACTGGATCGCGACGTGTTCCGGGTGCGCGCGCGCTGTGTGCTGGACGTTCAACACAATCTTGTTTACTGGACACGATACCCAGCAAAGTACGATCGCAGTATAGCGGCATCTTTACATAAAATTGAACGAAAGAATATAAAATAAATTGTATGGTTTTCTCAGATTCTTCTTTACGTCTGTAAAATATAGTTTCTTCAATTCTTTGCATATTTTGAACGAGTATACGCCATGTAGCAGTACCTGTAGATACTGAAGCATCATCATTGGCGGGAGAATCTTTGTCTTACTTTGTGACAGACTCACAGTATCATAATTCACAAGTTCAAGATTATTATATTTACCAAATGCTCGAAATCTTGAAAATCGAATAAAATTGTATGTCCACAATATCTCCATACTAAAGTGCATTGCAAACTATTCAGCAACGGAAAAGTTAAGAACGCCTTGTTCCCGTTGTCGATTTTCAACCAAGGAATCATTGCCCGCTTGCGCCATACATTTGACCGAGCAGCGCAGTGTTCCGCGTGCCGCGGTAAACCGAATAAAATGAAGCGGAATAGAATAAAGTCTTTATTCGCCGGCCAGGGAAGAGAGCAGCCGTAGCGCATAAAGGATTATTCGAAACGTAAATACGCGGTAACCGAGTGGAGGGACCGAGTGACGGTGAAACAAAATGTAAACTGCGAGCGGGTAACCTGGTGCGCGGGACGCCGGGGGAAATTAAATAATACAGACAGACTGGGATTACACGAATGCCTCGTTTATAAGGCAACGACGGTAGAAAAAGAGAAAATTCGCGTGCGGGCTACGAGAAGCGCATTCTTCCGGGCAACCAGCTCGAAAAGGGCCGCGACACGTTCGAGGGGACCGAGTGGAAAAGTATTTACGCGAACGACGGCCGGGATTCGCGCGCCGAATCTCTTGTCGTGAATTGTTGTCACGCCCGCCGCCGGTGAATTACTCTGAACACGGTTCTGCTGCGGGCCGCGTAATTGTTCCTGAAGTAATAAACAGACCGAGGAACAATTTAATTGACAGACAATGTAACGACTCGCGTTATGCCGGGTTTCTGCAGAATAATTAGCCGCTTTGCATGATATTTGTTACCGTTATGACTCAGAGATCCGTGGTAGGTGCCATTAATTTTTAATACGATTAATTTAGATCGCGTCTGAGAAACTCCGAATTGAAATACGTAACGAATACATCAGATTGGGCGTATTATTCCGCCGGTTGTTGTAATTAGAGGATAATATCCTTCATTGTGGTTATCAGAACTAGTTATGCACAAATTTAGTACATCAACTGTGACGTTGACTACTGTTATTTTTGTTATCGTGAGTTGTTAGTGAAATGAATATTAACTTCTTATGAATGAAAATTGACTTAACGTTGAAGGAATGTTTTATACTAAATGTTTCATCGAACATTTAAAGTTCCTTTTTTATTATTGGAATTATTCCTTTGTTACCAAGTAACTGTTTCTTGTCTATCAATAAAAGCTTCACGTTTCCGCAGCTGATGCTCGTGAAAGATGAGAACACGGTCCTCAAATTTTTCCGTCAGATTTGTCTCTATTTGTGTTAACTGTTTTTTATTGCGTTCCATTAATTCTTAAAGTACTAAAACGCCAGTAACGCGCTCCTGTTAACAAGTCTTTACGGTCCCGGTCGTTCGCGAGACTTAATATCACTTCAAATCGGTAGATCCAACGATTTGAATCTGAAATATGCTTTCTCTCTTCCGTAACGGAGACCTCCGTTATGCGGCGACAATAAGCGATAAAGTTTCACTGGCCGCGGGAGAGTAACAGCATTCGTCGCCGCCATTTTTCACGCCGTACTCTGCGAGGCGGGTCGTCGCGTTCGCTCTGGGGAAGAAATTTATTCGCGTTTCGTCGGTCTCGAGGCATTCTTGTCTCGAGGACCGACCACTGACTGTGGTTTAGGGTTGATACTGGCATAATCACGCTAATAGCTTTCTCATTTCCATTTAGCTGAGAAAGTGGACGAAAGAAAAGTTTCCTACGGGAAGGACAATCATAATAATGAGTGCACAGAGAATCCTTTGAATTTTGAATATTGAAATTTGAATATTGAAATTTGAATTTTGCTTTTTAAACCTTTTTAATACAGAACAAATATTTAAACAAATTTAATGTAATTTCTAAAAATATCTCTAGGAAATTCTGTTGTGAAAATTACATTCTCTCTTCAATATTCTTTGTAGGTTACACGGACTATTGGAACCTATCAATTTTTCATTTGAAATTTTGAAGAATGATGCAACGTTGATAGAAACACAGCAACGGATATCTCATAGAAGGTTTAACGAAAAGGTAGAAAGATAACCTGCATCCACTTGTGTAGTTCTTCGAGAAAGGCTTCCATGAATCATGAACCCATACATGCGCCATTTTCCTGCTCCTATCCTCACGATCCAAACGTCTTGAAAACCGGCATAAAAGTCTACATGATACCACTCCTGGATTCATGTGTACGCCCTATTCGAGGGTCACTGGTAGTATACTTCGGTCGCGCGGATCCGGTAAAACGGGATCGTAAAAAGACACTCGAGAGTCCCTTGGTGCTGGTCCCCTCGCCACGTTTTCGTACCTGAATAAGATGGACGTGTAACCCGCGGATGACCCGTGTAGCAGTTTGATAGGTGGCTCTAAAAAATCTGCAAAAAACAACTACAGTTACGTAATCGTGTTACGTATTCAGACGGAAGTGACGTTTCCGACTTAACGTTTGACCCTTTAGGGTTGAATTTTCATCGGAAGAAATCAGAATTA